CCAAGGTCGCTGCTGCCGCCAAGGCGGCCGCCGCTCCCGAGCTCAAGAAGCGCAAGGCCCCCACCTCGGCTTCTGCCGCCTCGGCCGCCGCCGGCAAGGTCGCCAAGAAGCCCGCCTCGGCCGCCGCCAACAAGGTGGTCAACCGCCAGAGCGCCCCCCCGAAGGCCGCCAAGAAGTCGGCCCCTGTGAAGAAGGCCCTGGCCGCGGCCAAGGCTCTCGGCGATGCGGTCGAGTCCGAGGAGGAGGCTGATGACGCCGCCAACCCCGCCTTCATCTCCCTTGGCTCGGATGATGAGGAGCCCGCCTCCATGGGCGAGGGCTCCGACTCGGACGATGAGGACGACGAGCCGGCCCCTGCCTTCGTTGTGCGTGGAATAGCCGGCCCCATTGCTTTCTCTCACGATGCCGCCCTCCTGCCTGCATGCAACACAGCAACAACGCGCACAAGTGCATATACCCACGACCCGGCCCCTTTCTCACTCATGCCCATCCATCCCCCTCCCCTCCCCCCTCTCTCCGCCTCCCCACCAATGGCACCTGTCTCGCCGTTCTCTTGTGGCCCTCACGCCCGGCGTAGGATGATGACGACTCCGGTAGCGAGGCCGAGGAGGAGGCCGACGGCGCGACCGACAGCAAGACTCGCTTCGACATGGACTTCGAGATGGGTGTCGGTGATGATGCTGAGTCGCGCGCGCGCGCCGAGAAGCTGGCCCTCCTGCGGTCGCGCATCAACGAGATGCTGGACACTCGCGCCAAGAAGGATGGCGCCAAGGAGGGCGACGCCCAGGCCACCGGCGCCACTGTCCGCCCGGACCGCGGTGTCGTCTACCTGTCTCGCATCCCGCATGGCTTCTATGAGCCCCAGATGTTCGGCTTTTTCTCCCAGTTTGGCACTGTCACTCGCATCCGTCTGTCGCGGAATCCCCGCGTGCGTCGGCGCACCGCACTGGCGGGCTAATCCCTGCGCGGATTTCATGCTTTCCTCTTCCTTCTCCCACCTCTCGTCGCATGTCGCTCCTCCCAGCACGGAGTCTCCTTCCTCTCTTTTTCTCTCCCTCCCCCCTCTGACCCCTCATTCCACACTCCCTCTGCTTCCCCCCGGCATGCTGTCACACCCTCTTGCATTCCCCCTCCCCCCCCCCTTCCGCAGACTGGCAAGTCCCGCCACTACGCCTGGATTGAGTTCGAGGTTCCCGAGGTTGCTCGCATTGTGGCCGATTCCATGCATTTCTACCTGCTCGGTGGTCGTCTGCTCCGTGGTATGTTGCCGACCGCCGCGTGCCCTTTCCTCCTTTCCTGCGCCTCCTCCTCTCTAATGCCTTTCATAATGTCGCATGCTGCCTTCCTTCCCCTCCGCTCTCCGACTCCCTCCCCACCAGCCTTCTTCGTGGAGAAGGAGAAGCTCCACCGGAACACCTTCCGCGGCGCTGTCCGCTCGGCCGAGGCGGTCAAGCTTCGCCGTGGCGGTGCCTCCTCTCTGATCGCCCCCCGCCGCAAGGATTCCATCAACCAGCGCAAGGCCGATGCCGAGGTGGCTGTCTCGTCGGCCGAGGCCCGCCAGCGCCGTCTGGACCGCGTGGTTGAGCGCGAGAACAAGCGCCTGGCCAAGCTTGCCGCTGCCGGGGTTGACTTCACCTTCAGCGCTCTGGTACGTTCAACTAAGGGGCAGTGGCAAGGAGTAACTGCTGCATTTTGGTCCTGCCTCCTTTGCGTTTGCCCGGTGGATTACCAACACCTTGAACCCCTCCCCCTCCCCCTTGGGTCTTCCTGCATTTACACATGCGCCTGTGCATGCGCGCGCACGCTCAACAGGATACTTTCAAGACCCAGACTGCCTCGCGCACCACCTTCGACGAGTAAATACCGCCTGCTTTGGGCTCCGTTGGTCCCTTCCTCCTCAGGCAGGGCCACCTCTCCCCTTGGCCGGCATGCCCGGTGTGTTCCCCCTTGTCCCCTTTCTCCGATAATAGAGTTGTTGTATAGTTTCACAAGCCACTGGCAACATGGACGCCAGCGCCTGCATCGGGTGAAGATAGAGAGAGGGAGGAGGGGGATGTGTTTCTCGAGCACACATGTGTATATATATATATGTATATATTGGTGTCTCCGCACACCGCTCCAGGAGGGAGGAGGGCGATGGAGAAAGGTGGCATTGCGCATTCATGGGCGACTCCCGTGCTCCTGGGCGCTGGTCGGTGCACGCCATTTTAACGGGAATGCCTGCAGGCGAGCAATGCACGGACAGGGGAAAGGAAATGAGGTGTCAGGTTGGCATGCATACGTGCACTTGTATGGTGATGGAGGGAGAATGGAGGAGAGACGGAGAGGAGGGGGGGGGGGGGGGGGGGGGGGGGGGCAGAGCGTCACGTACTTGGTGTAGCTCCACTCCCGGTTGTCAAGCGGGCAGACATTGCGCGCGCGCAGCCACTTATTGATGCAGTGATAGTGGAAGGCGTGCTGCGCAGGGGCGAGAACAGGAGCGACATGAGAACAAAGGGCAATCAGCAGGGTGCGGAGGGCAAGAGCCGTGCGCCAGATGCGGGAGGAGGGGGAAGGAAAAAAAGAACGGAAAAAGGACGGCGAGGACATCTAAAGAAGGCACCAAAAGCAACGCACCCCGCACTGCCCCCAGGAGACACTGCACTCCGTCTCGCCCGTGGAGGATGACCCGGATCCGGGGGTGTCGCCTGGACCAGAGGCGGACGATTGCCGGGCCTGGCAGTTAATGCCTGCATGGATGGGCAAGGAGGGGGGGGGGGGGGGGGGAGAAAAAAGGAAAAGGGAGAAAGGAAAATGGCGAAGGGAACACAGTGAAGAGAAAATGACGGAGGAGCGTACAGCGATCCATGATGTGGTTTCGACAGATGGCGCAGTTCTCGATCGCGAGATCTTATCAGAAGGAGAGATCGATTAGTGACGGAGGAACACATCCAGAAAGGCAGGGGAAATACGAAGAGCCAATACAATGGGCAGACGCCGCGACGAAGAGGGGCAGAGAGGGGACACGGCACAGACATACCCCAGGACCAGAGAGCAACAGCGTTCCACTGTGAAGCGCAGACAACGGGAGTAGAGTCAGTGGCCAGGCAGATTTCGCGGGATGCGCCACAGGGGGATTCGAACCTTGCGGATCTCGAAATAGGGCCGGTCAGCGTCGGCGCTCTGCCCGGAGGGCACCATCTGGACGTCCGAGGAGTAGGACATGACTTGAAGGGGGAAGAGGGGTTGCCTACTTTCCTGGGGGACGGACCCGAGTGCACGAAGGGATTGGCGAGAGAGAGGGGGAAAGGAAGAGAGGGGGAAAGAGAGATGAAGAAGAAGAGGAGGAGGAGGAGGAGGAGGAGGAAGAGGAAGAACAGGGGGAGGGGAGGCGGAGAGGACTGTGAGGGGGGCTGGACAACAGGACAGGCCGGGGCTCCGGCCCTGGCGGCCCAAGAGGGGCTCAAGCAAACAAGCACACACAGCACACGCCCCCGGGTCCACAGCACGGACAGATGCCGCCAGGGCCATCTCCCCTCTGGGGAAAGGTTGGCGTCGATTAATGAGCAAGATGTCCCGGCCCTTTCCACCGGGAAGCTGGCACACACCCAGGCGCCAGAGGGCGGGGGCGGGGGGGGGGGGGGGGGGGCGCAAGGCCCAGAAACATGGCTCGCCGCAAGGGGCCGGGGCACGAGTGCCACAATGCCGAAAGGGCCTCGCAAGCATGGGTGTCAACCACCGTTCTGCACACCTGCACAGGAAGCGGGACCCGGCGGGGCGACGGGGCGGAGGCCGGACGACGGTAAGCTCGGACAGACACCGCCAGTGCGGCCGACGGTTGCGCCGCCCCGGTGCCCCAGGCGCCTCCGGGAGGGTGATCGCAGGGGCCGGCCCTTCCCAAACACACACACGCCCGGAACGCGCGACCGTGCAAGGGGGGGGGGGGGGGGCGAGGGCTTGACGCCGCTCCCAGGCAGCGGCAGGCAGAGGCCCCCCGCCCCCCCTACAAACTCGCCCTCCGAGCGGTGCTGGGAGAAAGAACAGCGAGACGCCAACCGAGCCGGTGTTTGGCGACACGTGCCTCCTGGTCATGCTGCTTCCTCTCTTTGACATCATGTGACCCATACGTGGCCCACAATCACCGTCCAGGACAGGCACCGAGTTCCCCTTCTCCGACGAGGGGGCACGCCAGCAAAGCACACCTCGGCGGTGGCATACACATGCCGGGATTGGACCGCAAGGCTCGTGAGTAAGGCCACGCTTTCCGTGCGACCGTGAAGGAGGGTAAAGAGTGGAGATGGAGGGGGGGGGGGGGGGGGCAAGGGAGCGCGGGAGGAAGAAAAAGCACTGGCCTGGTGCCGCTCACCGGGTCAGGCCCGCGCGAGTGTGCACGCATTTTATTGATGATTGTTGAAGTGCACCGAGGACAACAGGAGATATGTGGCGGCGATCTCCTTGCAAAACTCCGACAGGATAACCATGACAAGGCAGATGTGGTACTGGGCATGTGTATGGTCTGACGCGTCGGGCGGGGGGCCTGTGGGGAGGGGGAATTTCCGTGGGGCGTTGTTGTTGTTGTTGTTGTTGTTTTTGGGGAGGGTTCAGAGAGTTTTTTCGCACGAGAAACGCGCAGGGAGTCAGTGTGGGATGCGGAGGGAGAGGGGCGGGGCTGGGACGCAATGACATCGCATGATGGCACCCGCGTGCTGCCGGGCATGTGTGTGTGTGTGTGTGTGTACCTTCTAGAAGGCCCTGGGAGATGAGGCCACGCGGCGGTGGAGACTCGGGACCTGCTCGCCAAGGGCACTGACAAGCGACAGGAGAGAGGGCCAAGCGGAGGGGTTGCCATGCAAGCATG